ACAACGCTCTTGCTTAGCAACCAAAATGTTGGCTCAGAAACTCTGGCATTGGAAGCACGCAAGTCTTAAAGTTGTCAAGTTACAAGATCCTTGCACCCTTAACCCTTTAGGAAAAAAAACCCCAGGGGTGTTCAAACTTGACAGCTCTAAGACTTGTGGACTTCAACTCCCAGAATTCCTCCTCTCGATCTTCATCTTGATGATGTGCGGATGGGCAGGGGGGGGAGGGAGCTGGAACCAGTTCTAAACGGCACTGTAGATTTATGGAACCTCTTCTATAGAAGAGGTTAGAACTGGCAGGAATCCATCCCTGTGCCTAACCTTGTTGACCCAAAGGTACATGGACAACCATGACCTGGATGACTGAGAATCTCCATAGACAACTAACCTTGTCTAAAAATTTGAAAACAATTGGGTTTATATTAGGTAGGCTACTGATGGTGCAGAGATGCTTTTTAATAACCCTATAGGACATTGTTATTGTTCTATTATATCTTAGCTATGGAATACATAAGCATGAAGAAAAAAACCCCACCCTATTGCAAAACCTATAGCATTAAAGAATAACATGGAGGTACAACCACATCAGCAAAGATGTTAAAACAACATGAAGAATTCTGAAATCTTCTCTGTTGGAGGCAGTAGAACAATGATATGAAACATTCAGTGCAGTAGGTGCTTTGAAAATACAAATTACTTTGCAGTGAGATTACTGCCACACTCTCTTCATGGTTTTTCCCCCCTGTTGGATGTTACAATTGGTAGAAATTGGTTTCAGTCAATTTGCCAACCTAAGGGAGCAGAACCAGCCATTGAACACCAATACTGCATGACCACATGATTACTGATTTACTCCCAGAATTTATTCAGACTGCTTGTTATTTATGTTAAAACTATACCTAGCTTGATTCTGGGTGTTTGCAGGACGATCTTGACTTTGACCTGCCTTGTGTATTCATGCTGAAAAGACCATGTGAGGTGGGTGTTGTAGCTTGGGGGAAATTTTTTTGCTTTGGACTATCTTAATCATACTTCCCATCTTTTTTTAAAAAAAATGTTTCATTGTAATGTATTTGAATGTTGTGAGGCTGTCCAGAATTGTTGAGATTTGGGTAGCATACATATTTAATAAATCATCTTCATTATCTCACCTCCCAAAGTATGGAACACATCCAGTCTCCTTGCCTTTGGGAATCAATGTGTAACAGCCTCAAATCTATGGAAGTAAATGATCTATAATTTATGCATCAAATAAAGTAATTACTAAGTATCACTCAAGATATGAAGACTCTTATATCCGAATGTCCTTTAATTATGACATGGTTTTAATCTTGCCACAGAGAAAAAAAAAGCTGGCATGTCTTGAAACTAGTTCTAGAATATCATTTTTCTAAGTATGTTCATATTGCTTTGTCCAAGGTCTGCATTATCATTACGGGTAAGTAGCCTCCCAAACTATAGGATAAAATTGTATGTGACATTTCTTGCTGCCCTCTAGAAACAGCAATATTTCTCTTAAATATAGTGCAGGACACTACCGCTAGTAGCAATGTTGGATGATGGTGGTGATGGGAGGGTAGAAATCAGGGTGTGTTTTTTTGCTATTTTATTTCTTTATCTACTTGTTTCTATAATGTTGAAAATTAGCACATTTTCACTGGAATTCCCCCCCAGATGTCCCTTACATAATACTGTTATTCTTTGCTGTTTCTGAGTGTGAGAACTGTATCATGCATTCCTGTTGCATGCATAATCTAAATTACGATAGCTCCTTGTACAAAGCAAAATTTATGGTCATCCATCAGTCTCTTCCTGCCCTCGGATTCCTCTTGAAGTCTCCTACTTACCAGGTCGATGAAATTAGATCTCCAAAGTGCAGGAATATCTTTGAACTGTTTGAACATGCCTTTCAAATTGACGATAACAATGGCAGCTAAGACAGCCTAAAAGAAAATGGCAAAGATACTATTTTACACTATCTAGAGTGCAAAGTTTTAATTCATGTAATGGATAAGAATAGAAGAACCTTCGCATAAATATAAACCTTTCCAATTATATTTACTTTTTTTTTAAAAAAAAGAACAGCCTAGTTTTGGAACATACTTTGGGTAGTTCGCGAAAAAGCTCTCCAATCTTCAAAATGGTTGCCAGGATGATGAGAGAAGAGATGACTGTAGCCATCTGTAAAGTAGAAAACAGGGAACAACTGCAGTGGTGGGTTTCAAAAACTGTTCGAACCTACTCTGTGGTTGTGGCCTCCTTTGTGGGAGTGGCTTGCTGCCCATGTGACCGGATAGGAATGACCTGCCGCCCATGTGACCGGATATGAAGATGCCGACAACACTTGTCAGAACCACCTTAAATTA